GCCTGGTACACTTTCCTCCTGCTGATTGATATAAGTTTGTGTTAGTATTTTTTTCCAAAAAACACTTGTCTTGTCAGCATTAAACACTTGATATGGCTCATAAACAGCCTCAGAAATAATTTCCTGTAATTCAGCAGGGAAATTACTTGCTGCTGTATGGTCAGCTGAAGCACTTTCACCAGAAAACTTAATATTATATAACTTATTATGCAACTTAAAGTTGTGGAACCAGCTTGTACTAAACACACATTTTTTTCAGGCCTTCCTTCCTTATCACATACTGCTTTAAACAACTGTAAGGCCTTTTACCTAATTAAGATGAAATTAAGTGGTGCACCTTTGTCTTTTGTTCGATCCACTCAAGCAACAAGTTTTCTGTTTTACTTACTTGTTGGGACCTACGTGTAATTCTTTTCATGAGATGACATCTTGGGTTATTCATTACACATGCTCGTATATTCACCTCATTCTTTTTAATTGTACGAACTGATGCTTCATTAAGGCCATTGGCCCTCACTATATCCACCACACGTGAGCCACTCTTAAGCTTATCTAATATCTCAATTTTCTTTTGCAATTCCTAGACTTGAATGCTTAAACCTTTTCTTGGGACTTTCAGCAACACTTGTATGGCTGCTGGGTGCCACAACTACTTGGCAGATTTAAGAAATGGCCATTAAAATACATATGTAAATAAACACTGAGCTTCCCGAGTAGCGTCATCCTACACATGTACGAACCAAACTGAAGGCTGGGAGGGTGGCGGGGAATGGCGATAGGTCTCCCCCATTGACTCAAATGGTGTAACCCACCACCAATACCGTGGGCGATCACATGGTCAAAACTTTTTTCCCTCCCGCAAACCGTGGTAAATTAATTTTACAAAGTGTTAAGTAAAATTGTGCCACAACTCTTCAATCGTGCTATACCTGAATCGTCCCAAATAAACTTTTGTTAAATGACGGTCTACTGTATATAATATATATATACAAAAAAAAAAAAATCTGTACTAAATGATTATATAAATGAGAAACTAATGTGTTGCATTGGCCAACTTCAAAATAGCCTTCAAATACATAGATGACAAAATGATTAAAAAACTGTTCATAACTGGAACATGCATTGGTTGCAGTGGTGTTAGCATGTAAAACAAATATTCACAGGATTTAAAAAACCTTGAGAATTTCTACAAAACTCTCAGAGCTAATTATTATTATTATAATTAAAACCAAGTAGGTAGTAGGTTGGTAGACAGCAATTGCCCAGGGAGGTACTACCGTCCTGCCAAGTGAGTGTAAAACGGAAACCTGTAATTGTTTTACATGATGGTAGGATTGCTGGTGTATTTTTTCTGTCTCATAAACATGCAAAATTTCAGGTACGTCTTGCTACTTCTACTTACACTTAGGTCACACTACACATCCATGTACAAGCATATATATACAAACCCATCTGGGTTTTCTTCTATTTTCTTTCTAGTTCTTGTTCCTTGTTTATTTCCTCTTATCTCCATGGGGAAGTGGAACAGAATCCTTCCTCCATAAGCCATGCGTGTTGTAAGAGGCGACTAAAATGCCGGGAGCAAGGGTCTAGTAGCCCCTTCTCCTGTATAAATTACTAAATTTAAAAAAAACTTTCGTTTTTCTTTTTGGGCCACCCTGCCTTGGTGGGATACGGCTGGCTTGTTGAAAAAAAAAATTAAAACCAAGTGCTAAACCCACTAGGGGTTACAGTGCTGTAGGGTAGGGGGTGTTACAGTATTATACAGCAGCAAGGGTGGAGAAAATAACAGGTAGATATATAAAGGACACTGAGGAGTGCTAAAGGAAGTATTATCAGAGTTTGTGCAGTAAATCAGTTGCTGTCAAAAAAGTCAAAGAGGGAGTCTGAATCAAAGGTAGGGCCATCAACAAGGAAGATAAAGTGTGTTAGAGAAGTGACGACGTTGGAGGTAAATTCTGCATGCTCATGAAAGACAGGACAGTCCAGTAGAATATGGCAAACTGAAACTGGAACCTGACAATTCCCACAGAGTGGGACAGGGCACCTCTCCATGAGATACCCATGAGAAAGATGGGTGTGCCCAGTATGGAGATGGGAGAGTGTAGTCTCCCAACCTTGGCACCGATGGTAAGGAGGAGGCCAGAAACCTAAACTTGGTTTGACAAATGTAATTTGTTAAGAGTCATATTGGAGCAATGTTGCCAATGGTTGTGAAGATGGCTAGAGTACAGCAAAATAGTGTGAGAATGGAAGACCTATATGAAACTGGGAGGTCATGTACTGTGGACCATGCAGCAGAGTCTGCCTGCTCACTGAACATCAACATGACCAGGGACTCAACAGAAAACAATATCTTCGTTTCTGCTGGAAATGTGACATAATCAAAGTTGTATATGAAGAACTAGGCGATGAGGTGAATCAAATTTTTGAACAGCTTGCAAAGCACTGAGAGAGTCTGAGACTACTACAAATGTTGTGGTAGGCATAGATGCAACACGGATAACTGGAATTAGAATTGCATATACGTACAATTTAACTGTAAAAATGCTAGCAGAGTCTAATAAATGCCCTCACATTATGCTGTCTGGGAACACTGCTGCAAACTCAACACCATCAGAGGATTTAGAATCATCAGTGTACACTGTGAAGGCACGAGAATGAGACCGAAAGTGGTTAATAAAAAGAGAGCGAGAAGCAACTGTAGATAACTGGGCTTTTGCAAACGGCAGTGGGGAAGAACAGGCACAAACTGTCAGAACCTTTCAGGAGGGAAGGGAAAAGTTAGATGCTAGATGAACATATAAAGTGGGTAACTGAAGAAGACAAGAGCGAGTGAAGACAAAGAAAGAAGGGATGGAGTAAATGGGCAGCAAACAAATAATGGACTTCTACTAATGTCCATTACTATCCTGTATGTAGAAGGATTGTGAAGGTCATCAGTGGACAAAACAGAGGATCAAGGCTATCGTTCAAGGATGGAATACTCGCATCTGCATATAGGCTCTCGACAGGTGAGGCACGAAAGGCACTCAGACATAAATATAATCCCTGATGATGGATGGGATCAAGTTTAGAAAGAGTTGCAGGAGAGGCCACTGAATATATCTGGTCACCATACTCCAGTTTCTATAAAATTAGGGCTGAATGTAGTCAAAAGAGAGTTTGATGATCCAGCCCCCTCCCCCCACATGGAAAGTGAGCGAGGGTTTAAGGAGGCTCAGCCAGCTATGGCAAGTTGCTTTAAGGGAGGCAACGTGAGGTTTCCAGGATAACCAATGATCAAACAGAAGGCCAAGAAACCTGACTGTATTTACGTGTTTAGGGATACATGATACGAGTACAATGGAGTATCAGGGACGACAGAGAGTCTGGTGAATGTAATTTGGCATGTTTTAGCACTAGAAAATTTAAACCCACGAGTGGTAGCCCAATGGGAAACATGGATGACAGCATTCTGGAGAGAGGCTGCTACTAGGTGACAGTCAGCGCCTGCACCAGCTATAGTGAAGTCATCAACATAAAGTACTGACCAAATATTAGATGGGAGAACAGATGCTTGATCATTTATAGCAAGGAGAAAAAGAGTGGTACTAAGGACACATCCCTGAGGGACACCCTGATTATTATTATTATTATAATCAAAAAAGAAGCGCTAAGCCAGGGACACCCTGAGCTGGACAAAGTCTTGGGAAAGTGATTAACACAAACATGGAAATGTGTCTCAGATAAGAAGTTTTTAAGGAAAAAATGGCAGATTGCCTCGGAGGCCTAAGGAGTGAGCTTGGGCCAATGTGTTATATGTCCATGTAGTCATATGCCTTCTCAAGATCTAGAAAGACTGCAATAACCGAGTGGAGTAAGGGGTTAATAGTAGAGCGGCCCTTATGAAAGCCACATTGACTAGTGGAGAGACTATTGTGTGTCTCTAAATACCACATCAGACTTCTATTTACCAGACATTCCATCACCTTGCAAAATGCACTGGTAAGAGCAATGGGACAATAGAGTGAGGTATCATGCTCCTAAGTACCTGGTTTACAAAAATGCAGAACAATGGCAGATTTCCACAGCTGGGGAGAATTCTTTGCGACCAGTTAAGATTAAAAAGACATAAGCGGACTGCAAGGGCTGACAGATGTAAATGTTGAAGCATTCGAATATGAATGCCATCAGGCACAGCTGCCGATGATTGGCAAGCAGATAAGTGTTGGCTCTAGTTCTAGAAGAAAAGTTCAAGGACTGTAACTTTCTGGCAGACTTGGAGGAAAGAAATGAAGGGTATAGATGAAGCCCCTGAGAGGTGTAGACAAGATGACTGCCTATTTCTGTGGCAACTTCAAAAGGTTTTGCAATGGTGACACTGGCAATTTCCCATGGACATCATAATTCAAGTGACCCTCCAAACTACAGAAAGTGGTGGATTACAGAAATGATATCCAAGAGGATGTAGTTTTTGCTACCATCAATGGAACATACAAAGTTATTTAACAACTTAGACACTGAATACAGAATACCACAAACATAGCACTGCTTCTGTAACTAATAAGTAAAGAAATCATGCAACACACACTGTAAGCTGATACTGAGGCAACTATGCATTTGCAGTTTCAAATAACTGCATACCAAAGATATATAATAAAATATACAAAGGCAAAATACATACATCTTGGCACATGTAAATCATTTCAAGCATAAACACTTAAATTTTACAATAAATGTTGTCTAGTGAACACTTGTACAAGCAAAAAAATATAATATAAATTACAATACATATGCTTTCTACATTTTTAGAATTGCTTCAAAAAATACAATGGTGTGAACAAAATCATAATAAAAATTCTACACTAAATCATACAATAATTGGATGCAAAAAAAAAAAATTGCACATTGTGATTTAACACTAGGCATACGGTACTCAAAATCCATTTTACAAAATGAATAATGTAACAGCAACATTACAGTGGGATGATCATTCATGGTCAGAGAGACGGGAATACCTGGTGATCCTTCTTTTGTCTAAGAATGATGGAGATCCTCTTCTACGTGGAATTGAGAGTGATCTGGATCGAGACCTTGACCTTGATCTTGACCGGGATCTTGAGACAGACCGGCTGTAATGGCCGTATGACCGAGATCTAGATCTTGACCTAGTACGCCTTGATCTTGACCTGGAACGTGATCTGGATCTTGAGTATGATCGTGACCTTGACCTTGACCGTGGTGAATGCGACCTCGAATGCGACCGAGATCGAGAACGAGGGGAGCGAGACCTAATATCAGAGTACAAGTTAGAAAATTTGGTTTGTATCTTCTACAAAACCTAATTTATTTTTGTAACTAGAATATCAGAGAATACTGCAAAATGGGTTTAATAAAAAATGCATAACTGACTATTAACCCTTTCAGGGTTTCTGACGTACTAGTACGGCTTACGCACCAGGGTTATTGACATACTAGAACACCTAAATTCTAGCGCCTTCAAATCTAGTGAGAGAAAGCTGGTAGGCCTACATATGAAAGAATGAGTATGTGGTCAGTGTTCACAGTAAAAAAAATCCTGCAGCACAGTGCATAATGAGAAAAAAAAATTCTGTGTTTTTGGTTTAAAACAGCAACTTTGTGGTGTATTTTTGTATGGTATTTATGGTTGTATTCTAGTTTTCCTGGTCTCATTTTCTAGAATGGAAGACATATTACTGTAGGTAGTGGGTTGTTAGACAGCAACCGCCCAGGGAGGTACTACCGTCCTGCCAAGTGAGTGGTAGGATTGCTGGTGTCTTTGTCTGTCTCATAAATATGCAAGATTACAGGTACATCTTGCTGCTTCTACTTACACTTAGGTCACACTACACATACATGTACAAGCATATATATACACACCCTCTGGGTTTTCTTCTGTTTTCTTTCTAATTCTTGTTCTTGTTTATTTCCTCTTATCTCCATGGGGAAGTGGAACAGAATTCTTCCTCTGTAAGCCATGCGTGTCGTAAGACGTGACTAAAATGCCGGGAGCAAGGGGTTAGTAACCCCTTCTCCTGTATATATTACTAAATTTAAAAGGGGAAACTTTAGTTTTTTCTTTTGGGCAACCCCACCTCAGTGGGATACGGCTGGTACGTTGAAAGAAGAAGAAGAAGAAGACATATTACAGAAATTGAGATGATTTTGATTGGTTTCATAATAGAAGTACCTTGAAATTGAGCTCAAAGTAACAGAAATGTTCAATTTTTACCAAATTTCAAAAGTAAACAAATCATGCCAAGTGTCCAATACACGTCAACTGGCGAGTCTAATATTCTTTCACAAGTGCACTGATATTATTTATACTATTTCTACACCATTTCTACACTAATGCAGTAGTCTGCATAACAGTAAATCTTCTATTTTTTGTGAGAATAAAAATTCAAAGTGGAAAGCAAAAGAGATGTAAGAGGGGCCTGGGGACGTGACTAATGAACAGAGAAAATGTTATTTTTGTGCCAGAAATGTCTGTCTTGGTTATTCTGGACCCTATTTGGAAATTGGCATTTTCTGAAATTTGTGTGAAATTGGCAAAATTGCCAATTTCTGACCACTTTATTAGATAGTTGAAATAGGTAAATGGGTGGTTTCTTGTACTCATTTGACAGAACAAATGGAGTGCTAGCAAAATAGATATGATTTTTGTAGACTAGTACACTGAAATTGGCCGAAAACAGGGCTCAAAGTGGGCGAAATTGCCGATGCGTCGACATCGTCGAGACCACTAACTTCGTGAGAGCATAACTCCATAAGTTTTCCATCAAATTTCATACTTTTGGTGTCATTATGATTGGGAAAAGATTTTCTATCATTTCATAAGAAAAAATAATTTTTTTTTCCAAAAAATTTTCGAACCTGAGAACGAATTTAGGAGAGGGCCTCTTGACCCTGAAAGGGTTAAGTGGAACTTCTACTGTATAAGTAACAGCAACCATTAAACATCAATGTACTGGCAGAAGTGAGGTTAGTCAACACTAAAGCATATTTAACTAGAATTATTTTGGTCACTGAGTCCCCTGTGCTTTGATGCTTGTGATTAGAATAGAGTGCATCGAAGGTTTGAAAGGAATCACAAGAGACATTCACAAATTAACATACAGAAACCAACATTCAAATTTCAATAAAAATGGTAAATCAGGTCATACATAGCCTAAATCTAATTTAACCCTTTGAGTGTCGAGATGTCTGCTCGCAAACTTCCTCATAGTGTCGAAGAATTTAAAAAAAAAAAATTCTTATGAAATGATAGAGAATCTTTTTTGGAAGGTGATCAAAAATTACTAATCTGGCCAATTTTACACAAAATTCAAGAAAGGCCAATTTCAAAATAGGGGCCAGAATAAACAATGCAGACATTCCTGGCACTAAAATAACACTGTCTCTTATCATCAGTCATGTCTCCAGGCCCCTCTTATATTACGCTTGCTTTTCATTTTGAATTTTTATTCACACAAAAAAATAGCTGATTTACTGTTATTCAGACTACTGCATAATTGTAATAATTGCATAGATAGTATCAGTGCATTCATGAATGCATATTAGACTTACCAGTTGATGTGTAGTGGAGTGTGACATGACTGAACATTGTGAAAAATCTAATATTTCCGCTATATAATTTGAGCTCAATTTAGTTGGTAAAAGATTCAAAATCACCTCTATTTCAGTAATATATCTTCCATTCTATCAAAAGAGACCAAGAAAGCATGAATACAGCCATAAATACCATATGAAAATACACCACAAAGTTGCCGTTTTAAACCAAAAACACGGTTGCAGTGTTGCAGTGTTTTTCTCATTATGCACTGCATGCTGCAGGATTTTTTTTATACTGCACACACTGACCACATAGACCCATTCTCTCATATGTAGGCCTACCAGCTTTCTCCTGCAAGATTTAAAGCTGTTAGAATTTTGGAGTTGTATTATGGGACCAACACCAAAGGGGTTAAACCTTTTAAAGAGACCAATATTCTAAAACAAGCACACTAAGCTGAAACCACTCGGATGTTGCATTATCAAGTTATTATTGAAAGGTTATATGATGCAACACTCAGAAATTACCACACGAGAAGCAGTACGGTATTTCAATTTTCTTAAAAAAGGAGCAAATTAGAACATTCACTAGACAAAATCAATCCAAACTTTTCTCTAAGTAAGACAGACCAGCTTTTAAGAAAGTACAATAATTAAGTTTTATGTAAACTTTGTATACACAACATGAATTTCTAAAGTCTTAGCACCACCTTGGATGCAGTTTCTCTCTTTGACTTTGTCAAGTTGATTTAACCAACGATAACCAAATAAAGCCCAACACTTTCACTTATTTCTGATCAGGGGAGACATTTTTCAATTATTTCACAGAAACCAATTTGATTAATACAATTGGCACATGATAACTTACAGAACCTAACATCAAGAGATTGTTTCCTTTGAGGAAAACACATCATCACTAAAAGTTTAATACTATTACTGAGTCCAATGTGCGAGTACACAGGTGATGTGACGTCAATGTGTGAGTACACAGGTGATGTGACATCAATGTGTCCAATATACTAGTATGCACAATTTTTCGTGCCTTCAAATATACCACCAGTCAATATTTTTGACTTTGGCACAACTCTGTAGGTCTTCTAAAACTCTTCATGTCTCCAAAAAAAAATCTGAGGCCAAGTGGATCCACACAGTGCATCACAGGAGATTGTAATAATATTGGTAGAATTACTGACAATATGTTACGTAAAGGAACACAACTGCAACTTCTTTCTTCTTCTTTCAATAAACCAGCCATATCCCACCAATAAATAACAAAAAAAGGCACAATACCGTGACTGGAACGATACACAAATAACCCACACATAAAAGAGAGAAGCTTACAACGACGTTTCGGTCTGACTTGGACCATTTACAAAGTCACACATTGTGTGACTTTGTAAATGGTCCAAGTCGGACCGAAACGTCGTCGTAAGCTTCTCTCTTTTATGTGCGGGTTATTTGTGTATATCCCACCAAGGCAGGGTGGCCCAAAAAGAAAAACGAAAGTTTCTCTTTTTAAATTTAGCAATTTATACAGGAGAAGGGGTTACTAGCCCCTTGCTCCTGGCATTTTAGTCGCCTCTTACAACACGCATGGCTTACGGAGGAAGAATTCTGTTCCACTTCCCCATGGAGATAAGAGGAAATAAACAAGAACAAGAACTAGAAAGAAAACAGAAGAAAACCCAGAGGGGTGTGTATATATATGCTTGTACATGTATGTGTAGTGTGACCTAAGTGTAAGTAGAAGTAGCAAGACGTACCTGAAATCTTGCATGTTTATGAGACAGACAAAAGACACCATCAATCCTACCATCATGTAAAACAATTGCAGGCTTTCATTTTACACTCACTTGGCAGGATGGTAGTACCTCCCTGGGTGGTTGCTGTCTATCAACCTACTACCTACAACGACTGCAACTAATGTGACATTTTATTGTGGCAACATTTCACTCTCCAGGAGCTTTATCAAGCTGTAGTAATGGCTTGATAAAGCTCCTGGAGAGCGAAACGTTGCCACAGTAAAATGTCACATTAGTTGCACTTGTGTCCTTTTACCTAACATCACAGGAGATGACTGTGTGTCCAAAATACTAGTATGCCTAACTAGCATAAGTAAACAATGAAACCAGGACCTGTTGTTCCACCACCAGTTTCCCTACCAGCAAATTGTGTGTGGAACTGGCAGATAGATGACTTATTCATTCCAGATTTATTACAATTTCATGATACTAACAGTGGAATTCATCCACAAATCACACTGTAGATTTAACCCTTTGACTGTTTTGGCCATATATATACGTCTTACAAGCCAGTGTTTCGGACATATGTATACAGTGGACCCCCGCATACCGATGGCACCACATAACGATTAATCCGCATACCGCTTGCTTTAATCGCAAAAATTTTGCCTCACATACCGCTTAAAAACCCGCTCACCGATTTTCGTCCGAGACGCGTCCAATGTGCGCCCTCAGCCAGCCTCACATGTGCCGCCCGTGCCATTGTTTACCAGCCAGCCTCCGCGGTAACATCCAAGCATACAATCGGAATATTTCGTATTATTACAGTGTTTTCGGTGCTGTTTCTGGAAAATAAGTGACCATGGGCCCCAAGAAAGCTTCTAGTGCCAACCCTACACCAATAAGGGTGAGAATTCCAATAGAAATGAAGAAAGAGATCATTGATAAGTATGAAAGTGGAGTGCATATCGCCG